CCCAGTTGGACCCACGGTCCAAAAACTCACAAACAAACTTTTTACAGCAAGCTCCGACCTTGACAAGGTCAAACCTCATCAACACCTTGTCACCCAGGCTCACAGGCAAATGTTTAATAGTATTTAATGAGGCTGTGTTCTTCAGTAATCCATCCATCACTTTTGTCCACCCTGGGGAGCTGTGTCAACAATGTCGGGATTTTTTTGGGAACAACACAAACTAGATCACTCTCTTTTCATCAGATGACCTACATCAAGGGCCGCCTCATGTCACCAGGTCAGATTAACTTGATGTACTTTTTACCTACATCAATAGGTCATATATATATATATATATATATATATATATATTTGTTTTGTAACTGTTAAATAGATAGTGATTAATTTGTATTGATTTAATAGTTGCTTAGCTATAACAGTGTTTGTACCAAATACAGGACACTTGCAAAACAGACAACTGAATAGTTTAAAAAGTTCTGTTAGGCAACTGGACGTGAATTTTCTAAGAAGACGTTTCACCTCTAATCCAAGAGGCTTCATCAGTTCTGAAGTGAATTTTCTAAAAGAAGACGTTTCACCTCTAATCCAAGAGGCTGAATAAGCCTCTTGGATAAGGACAGGTTATCATTTGAAACAACTATTTAATTAAAAAGACTACTTTATCGTGAGTGTGTGTGCAATGTAATGAACTGAGGTCACACTGAAAAGCCCAAAATAAAAGAAAAAAAGAAAAAAGGAACACGTGCCAAAGACCAGACATCTGTGTAAGTCAATCACAGAAAGACTACAGCCCTTCCTATATTTCTGTGAATGAGTCAAACAATGTAATGAGAGAATTGTGTGACTTAGAGACAGTAAAAGACTTATGCTGTATTTTAAAAATAAACCAGGACACCAATGTGACCATGAAAATAAAGCCCACAAACAGCTGCCGCTGTAACATCTAAAAACAGACTGTTCCAGATTACTGCGTTCTAAAGAACTGCTACAGGTAAATGATGAACAGTAACATTGTGTGGATGTGAAGTTATGTCCAATAAATTCAGATACACAATACAATTATTATTACAACATACACAACCTGTATGTTCTCATTTGGGTACTTCCTAATACTGACTACCAATACCGATACTTCTATAGGTCAGGGTTTTAATACATGTGCATGACTAGGAAAGCAGTGTTACACATGGTGCAGTGCACTCTGGGAAATGATGAGGACATTACTGTGAAGACACCATCAGGAAAATGGTTACAGCCAGTTTTATCTTCTTCTCATTAACAGAGAGGAACTTCAGGCCAAAAGGAAACAAATATGTCTGCTTGAAAACTACTTCCTTTATTGTTGTCACATTAGACAATGTACTGCATTGATAAAGATTTCCATTACAATAAATACAAATAATAAACATAAAGATAGGTAAAAATGTCTTGATTATAAAAGCCAACTGAACAGAAACAGACCAGGGGTTTTATGCTGTCGGTGTAAAGTATGAGGTGAACATGAACCAAGTTACCAAATAACAGTGTCAAATAACTCAACAAAAAGTGAGCCAGAGAACAATAAACAAACTTCCTTCATCTATCCACTGTGTTCTGGATGAGAAGAGAAGTGACAGTAGCGTAATTAGCACCAAGACATTAGCACATTCAATGCTAGGATGCTGCTTCAGGTCTTTAATGTACCAAACTGCTTGTTTGGTAACATAATCAACAGCAAGTTAGTCTTAGTTCGTTAATTAGTCCTGCTCCTGTCTTCGTTGTTTACATTAAATGTGTCACAAATACTGACCTACATTAATAGACCATCACACAAGTGGGCAGCGAGAAACTGAACTGGAGGAGGACAACACAACAGTGGCTGTAGAATTCCTATGAATTTTCTATAAAAATAGATGACATGCTCCATATGCATTAGACCTTACTATTGAAATGTAGTTCTTATTACAAATCTGACATGTTGTATACGTAAAGAGCAAAATATCCCACCAGATCAAATAATTAGAAAACTGTTCTCGTCATCCTTTTCTGAGCTTAGAAAACAAAAACAAAACTTAAAAAAAAACAAAACGACATGCTCACTTGACAGAACATGGTCTTAAAAAAACTGGAAGAGAAATTGATTTAAGCTTAAATTAAACTACATTACATTACACAGTGCTGTTCTAATAAAAAAAAAAACAGTGGGAGCTGTCACTGATCCAAGTGTTAGAAAATTGTAAAGAAATTGTCGGCCACACTATTAAAAAAAAAAAAAAGAAGAAAAAAAAACAGTTTGAATTGTGAAAAGTGTGTTGCTCTGTGATCTCGTTCTTTCTCTTCTTCTGTCACAGCTTGCAGATAAGCCCTCTGGCTGAGACACTACAGCACACAGCCCTTCCCGAATCTCATTATCATGATGGTACACTTTCCAACCAACTGTCCACAGTCCAGACGCATATTTACAGCAGCCAGACATTTAAATACAATGTTGTCCCTTTGCAGACTGCATCTTAAAAAGCTCTTTATTTCCAAAGTTGTGAATGCAGTGATACCCTAAACAACATTTTTATTACCTAAAATTGCCCCAATATCAACACGCATCCACATCTTATAATCATGGAAGGGATATATTAAATCGCAACATCAAGGTTTATAAAGCTAAAGTGTGTCTCCCAAGAACATTTAAATTGAGACTTATTGCAATTTAAATGAATTGCATTTGCATAATTGCTCAGGGCTTCTCTCATTACTGAAGGTTGCAATTAAATACTGCATGGTTCAAGGTTTTTTTTTTTTTTTTTTTTTTTAAATATCCACTCGATTAACTAATATTGGCAATATTTATACCCCGTCTATAATGTGTGGCTGGACTTGACCACAAAGTGATGGATGATGCTAAATATTTCTTAAAAAAAAACAAACAAACAACCTTAAAAAAATAATTGCCAACTCTGGAAATCTCCATAGGATATTTTCAGGCCTATTGATTATAGGGCAGGAGCTTGGTGGCAGCACTTTGGTTCACAAAGCCACAGTGTTTCTTCCAATAAAAATAACGTATGTGTGTGGCCTGTGCGTGTACAGCAAGGAGAACACGATAAAGATTAATTTGTTCTGACAGGTGCATGTGAGGCAAACTTAAAAAAATAAAATAAAAGAATAACATGTTCTGTGTAGACACACCACAGCAGAAGTGATAATAAATAAGTAAAATAAATCCCTGGCAACCTAAATTATGCAGATCCATTAAGTAAGCCAGTATAGTAGATCATTCCAAAGCACATATGCACAGACACCTGAGCTCCTTAGCATTAAATGCATGAGCACATAATTATATTTTTCCAGGACCAGCGATAAATCGACACCGCTCACGAGGTGAATGGGAATAAATCAATCTATTGTTATAAACACCTTTAAAATTGATTTTGGACTCCATACACCCGCCATCTTATTCAAGAGGTGTGCAGTAAGAGAGTTGGGAATGAAAATATTGGTTTTCACTTCAGCCTGATCTGCGTGAGGCCTGGAGGCTAGACCCTACCCCGGCAGCCGTTCGACGAGGTGAAGGTTCACCTATTTGTCAGTCAACCACAGGGCCACACAAAAAGGACAAGAAAACTCAAGAAAAGACATTAAAGTTAAATTATCCAAGATCTCACCGCCACCACAGCCAGATCTAGTTTTCTTTCTCCTCCACCACCTCTAAACCTGTCACTGTCCTCAAAGACTGCTGACTAACATCCACGACCTTTGATCGACCTCTCTCCCCCATGTCTGTCTGCTCTACACGAGGACTCCTTGGATAAGGATTTTTCAGGCTTACGGCCATGACCCAGCGTCATTGGCTTTGAACATATACATATATATATATATATACACACATAATTATTTATTTTTTAAATTATAATTAAAACACCACATAATCATAACCAAATGGATTCACTTCCATGAATATTAATCAACTCTGAATAAAATACAGAATATTCTGCTGTGATTTGCTAGAAATGTGTGATGTCAGAATGAGGTCACAAGCCAAGAAAGGTTAGTAGCCACTGCTTTATACATTACACCCTTCCAGACTTCCTCACACTACCAACAGCCTTCGGTTCACCATCTGCACCCACCTCCACTTATTCCACTCTCAGGCCAATCCTCCACCATCCTTCTTGTTTCAAAGGTGTGAACTACCCTCTTCCTTCTCCCCATGATATAGGGTTTACTTTACCACTTCCTCCTTTACATCAGCCATTAATAACAGCAGGTGGCACACCTCAAACGCCACCTCTACCAGCTGCTGCTGCTGCACCAGCCCGTTGAGCATCCCTGACTAGAAGAAGACTACAGTAAACCAATGCTGCAGTGTGTAGGTGGAGGCGATAGGATATATATATATATATATATATATATATACTGTTTAAAGGTGTCTGTTTAATATAGATAAAAACACATTCATGGGACGTTTTATTGCAAATGTGAAGCCTTTTGAAGTAGGATGGCTTTTTAAGTAGACACGTTTCCATATTCATAGAAAAGTAAATATACTGTATGAGTTCAGACTTCAGCATCTTTTTATAATGAGGGTACAAAGTTAAAGCTGATAAAATGCAACAAATATTTAATTTGTTTGTTTTGGACAGCTGTGACACTGTGATACCGTATAAATGTATTCTGTTCTCTTTAAAGAAGCTGGCACTTTTGGTGACTTCTCAAAAACAAAATAATTTCCATGTCTCCTAGTTGAACAGATGAAAGTTTATTGATATATATTTTTAATTAATTACTGTTTTCAACATGGAAATTGAATAAGATTCACTCTCTGGTTGTTACTTTTGGCTATCAACAGCAGTAGAGTGCACTGTGATTTGAGAGTTTTACTGACACAACAAACCTAGGATTTGGGGACTAAGTGGTATCAAACCCGCAGCCTTCAGATGGCAAGCAGTAATCCCACCCCTGCACAGCTCCAGCCCATTGATCATAAACTCATAAACATAATGTAACAGTTTAAATGAAAACATTACCTTTTTTAGGTAGAAGTGTCTTCCATCTTCAAATCGTTGCGTTCAGGAGGAATCAGGAAGCAGACAGGATCCAAAAGCAGCACTTGGGGGAACAGCCATCAGGTTCAAAAAGTCCACACTTAAATACATCCAGCAAATCCAACGGAGACATAGGCCAGGCAGGAACAAAGGAGACGCAGGGAGAAGCACAATGGACAACACTGGTAAACAGAGCTGGAGGACGAGGCCATGGGGCAAATATAAACAAAGCCCAGAACCAGAAGAGCAACAGGAACCATGACCTGACCGTGACAGCTTGAGGGAGAGAGATAGTTGTCACCAGGTGAAGCTGATGACACTGATTGTCCCAGGAGAGAGAGACAGACCTGACACAAACCTTTTGCACAAACAATATTCAAATAAAGGAGTTGCTACAGAACCCTTGGTTTTTGTGCTGATATTTTAAAGGATTTGACCCACTTTTTTTTATGTCTGCACTATGTCTTATTATAGTGCTGTTCTTTAAAAAGCTGAAAGATTTGATTGTGCCCTACCTTGGCAAAACATAGCAAACATACATAACACACATTTTCATGATTGGTTAGTTGGATGACAAAAACATCATAAAAGCCTTTGAAATTATGAAATTATACGTGTTTATCTGGCAACCATTCCCAAAATCATTTGGGAATGAATTTTAGAAGTCTAATTTGCAATTTGTTTGCCCTTAATTTGCTTGTCTGAGGTGTTTGTTCAGTATGTTAAGCTCATATTCAATGGTCATCCTCAGACTGCTATCTCGCCCTTGTGTCCAACGCTCAGACGGCAGCATCTGAATATCTGCCGTGAGTTTTGAATTTCAGACTTATTCACAGGTGATGAAGCTCACCACCTCCAGCACCTGGACATATTTGGACAGAGTCAATTGATCTATTATTTCCAGGGCACTTTGCGTCTTGACAGTTGATCGAGCAATGAACAGCTGCAGTGCTGACCCTCTGAATCCCTGATCTGCCTCATCTTTATAAGAGGATGAAGACTACATCCTAATATCTTTTGGATTAGGTCTCTTCGGTGTCTGTTCACTGTTTCAAGAAAGATTTCAGTGATGTCTTATTTGGGCAGCAGCAAAGACTGAAGAGTCAAAAAATGTAAGGCTCCTGGACCAGAAACCATATTGAACTGTATCACAGAATTACTTTCAATAGTCATTCGTAGTATGTGGAGGTACATTTCTGCATTATGACAATGGAGAAAGCTCTGACCTTTAGACCTTTCATTGTTTTGAAAATCAAAGGAGGAGAGCCAAACTGATGTTCCAGGAAGGCTGTGGCCAAAGATGTGGTCTCAGGAACTGCATTCTTGGGCCGCAAAATCCTCAGGAACTCCCTCTATATACATCACTCGAACAAAATGCTTCTCCACCAGCTGTGGATTGATATTGTACGTCGGACATAATGTAAATTTGAAGAGCACTGAGACGGCCATAATTATCCAGCTGGTGTAGCACATGATTTGATGACTCCTGATTCTGATTGCAGAAAAACTCTGTTTAATAGGAAAATAGACAGGATGTCTGGCAGGCTTTGAGCACTGTTTAAACTGAGTAATAGAAAATTATGAAAAAGAATGTAAGAATGTTCATTAAAGCCTTTTTAAAACCTTTTCCTAATTGAAGTGTCCTTCAGAATATAAAAAGAAATGCCTGTTGTGTGCCATGAAAATTAAGCATTTTCTGGTGTTTAAGCATGTTTATGTATACTATATGTCAACTTCAATGATATATTATGGGTTAAGACCTGGGATTAAGAAGTGTCATTTACGAGAATATATTTCTTTCAAAACTACCTGAAATTCCATAATAAGAAAGTAAAAAATAATATTTTTGACTTTTTCTGGTTAGATTATAAGATTGTCTTTCCCCCCTTCTTTAAATTATGTATCACCCTGTGTTCGACGGACAGTGAAAAACACATGAAACATTTGTTAAAACTCAGCCCTGAACTCAGCCTGTCTGAGGAATAGAGAGAGACTTGCCAGAAAGCACTGCCTGCACTTGTTTCACTGTGGAGGAGTAAAGAACTGTAATCCATCTCCACTGCTGCACAGAGGTATGGAGATCAGAGTAAAGACTCCAACATTAAAACCAGAAGGTAATATCTTGATCTCCTAATGTGTTATTGATCCTTTTGCGTTTGTTTGAATTTGCAGTGTATCTTTTCAATGATGTCTGAGCTTGTTGAACATTAGTTTTTCCCTTTTTTTTGGTTTATCCTTCAATTAAAACTAATACTCTTTCAACAGCATCAAAGTCCAAACAGTGAATGCAACCTTGTCTGCGTGTTTTTCTTCTTTTTTTGTGTGTGTTATTCAAGGTTAACACACTCTCAGCGTATGTCAGTATTCACCACGTATTGTAATATAACTTTATTAAAGTAAGTAAAGCTGGAGTTGCACAGACAAAACTAGATGAAATCAGGAGAAACACATTCACACAACACTCGTGATGCTGCAGCAGAGACATTAGTTATTATTAGCTCCACGCTGACAGTTATTGTGGGCGTTCTCTAAATCATTGATTTGCGCACCTTAAACACGCGAGAAATAGAATAAAAGGCTCCTTCTCTGTCACTCATCATGGAGAAGCAAAGCTTGTTTTTCTTCCATCCTCACCCACAACATCTATTGCACTGTTGCTCATGCTGCCTCCATAGACCTGGACTGTTAGCAACCACAGTCATTTCTAACCATGACTTGGTATTCAGAGGTTACTCAGATTCTGGTTTATTTTGATCTATTATTCACTTTCGTGTTTGTTTACATCAGATTAAAAACTCTCCTTCAGCCTTAAAATCCATGTTCTGGAGTTTATGTCCTTGTACAGGTAAAGACACCGTTCCTGGTTGAACAAGGTTCGGGCCCAACTACAACACCTGTTACATGATAACGAAAAGCAAAACTGCATTTTTTAATTGATTTCAATTGATTGATTTTTTTCTTTGGTCCTTGCCATCAATGCCACTCTTGCAGAAACCTCTCTTAGTTCAGCCCCCTGCTGCTGGATACAGACGTTTTAATACATCAATTGCTCTGACACTGTGTGTTTAACATTCATTTACAGCCTTAAGCCAATCACACGTATTGTACTCCATGAATATTCAAAGACAGCAGTATTTAAAAGTCATCCGGTGTTGAATGACTTTGGCCCTCAGTCAACGTGACCGCACTCCGACCCCAGTATTGAGCACCTGGCAGTGGCTGGATCCCACCCAGACACCCCCTCCCTCCCTGCTTCCTTTGTATAATAGTAATAATAATGTTTAATTATCTCTTAAACCTTGAATGAGGCCGCTCTATTCTCTGGTGTGTACAAGGCTGTGCCTGAAGAGCTGTGTGTGGGTCTGTCAACAAGTGCTGTATAAGTGTGTGATCAAACACTGCGGGCTTTGATGTCGGGACCGTGTTTTTTCACTCGACTCCTTTCCGGAGAGACAATAGTCTCCTATAGTACAAAAGAAATGATGCGATGATGATTGAAGATTAAATGTAAAAATACACAAATGAGTCACTAAGACTCATACATATATATAATATTTGTGTATATATATATATATATATTTTTTTCTAGTGCAATATGATTCTATAATTTTCTGTGTGGGTCAATATCACTGTTGTGTGACACATTTTAACATGATATGATAAGCACCAGAGTTGTGTAATAATAATAATAATACATTGTTACTGATTATTTTTATTTACTTTCTCTTATTTTATTCACTCTGCTCTCCTTCATCGTTACCACACTATAGTAGTAATTATGTATTTTTTAAACTCTGACTGTCCAGAATCAGTTGTTTTGGACTTTTTGGATTTATAACATTTTTTTGAAAATATTTTTACTATAGTTAAAATGATTTCTTACTTATACAAATGTTTTGCAGTGACGTCTAAAGCTTTTTCAGTGTCCGTACAGGCTCAGCTGTTGCATCACCAATCAGTTTTTATTGCATATTTTCATCCACAATTACGCTCAGACTTTATTGCCCCTGTGGGGAAAATCATTTCCACAGCACAGTAGTCAGCTTCAGACAGACAAATAACACATTTAACAGACAGTGTAAGAAGTAAACAACAGTCAAAATAGACAACAGTACTGCACAGTGATGCAACGCAACAAATAACTTCCCCTCTGCGACATCCAATTACTCAGGGCAGCAGTGACTCTGAGGATAAAGGTGGGTCCTTCCGCAGAGCTGTGTATCTTCACCCAGAGGGCAGTAAGTTCAAACGGTGGTTGAGTGGAAGAGTGGTGTCAGCAGCTGTTGTGGCTGTGAAGCCTCTTACGGCTTTATTAAACATAGCTGTGGGTTTGGGTCAGAAACTGACCATTATCTTTGTTGGAAACAAAGAGAGACTGCTGCAAATGCAGGTTAAAACAGATCACAACAAATGAACCCATGTGTGAAACAGAAGAAGTAGACGAGGAAACATCTTGTCTCTGGATTTGACAGATGGCAGGAAGTATTTGGCATTTTTTTCCCCAGGATACCTTAACTCAGCTTCAAGCTTTGCATCTCAGAGATCTCTTTCTCTTCCTAATATTAAAAGTTAACTCCAATATCTTTTTCCATAGAGTATGTGTTATATGAAAAGCCCCCCCATGCCCCTCCATCCACCCCTCACTAAGGATGATATGTGTATTAGTCATTAGGGGTCTCTTGAAGAAATCAACAACAGCAAGTACACGACTTATCTGACGACCTTAAACGACTGTTGTGTTTGTCTCGCCACCATATGAATAGAATCTTTATGAATCGCTCGGCACATTTATTATTAGCAAACACACAGAAGAGCCAATGTCAACAATGTAGTACAGCTGCTCTGTGTGTGACGGGGATATCTGTGAGCGTCAGGGAGTCATAATATGTCACATGTGCAGTACATGTTAGTAGGAAATAGACAAAGAATTCAAGCTTCAGACAGAAGAAAGAGGAAATTAACTAGACAAAGAATTGATGGAAAAAAGGGCAGTACGTGGATCATTCTGGGTACTTATATCTGGACATCGCACCAGAGGAACCCACTGAACCACAGTGTGCAGCACAGCACAAGTGAAGGCTCAGTACAAACTCCACATGTACAGTTAAGGGCAATCAGGAAGCATGGAATTAAGCGCCAGTGCAGACGCATGAAAGATGGTGAAAGTAGATCTCAAGCTTTTTGGCTTTTTACTGGAGCAGTTTGTTGCCAGTGAAATTGGTTCAGTTTTAAAAACAGCAAAAAAGCAATCCACTATGTGTTCACACCTTGACTTCCTCTGGTGGTTGACTCACTCTCTCATTACCACCATGACACAGGTGAACACATTGTGTATATTGGTGATGTTTCTTTGTGAAACCTACGTCAGTGTATACGTCAGTAAAAAAAAAAAAAAAAAAAAACGTTTGTAATTCCTGATGGTTGTGAACATATAGCTATTTGCTATTTTGACATAAAGTAAATATGACGTGAGTTCAAGGTTTTTAGATTTACATTTTTTAAGATGTAAGTGGGACTCACTAATATAGTCTCGATTTCCACCTTTTGGCCTTTAAAAGCACAAATGTTATGGTAACAGAACTTGATTTCTAACTAGAGATGATGGGAAATAAACAGCACTCTCTCACAGAGTTGGGTTTATGATCCTTTTAATCTAATCACAAAGTGTCTTCAGAGTGTTTTCAGAGTCTGTTTCAGGCTTAGAAAATATACTTACATTGGTATGTCATTCCCTATTAAATGACAATTTAAGTGAATTACTTCTCCATACATTTTGGTGAAGTGTTAAATGCAAGGTTTTGTCAATGTTATATTGATTTCTCTTTTGTTTAAAGCCTTAAAATAAACCACAATTGCCACAATTATGAACTGACAGTTTGGTGTGGAGCGAGGAATCCACCTCCTGTTCTTCTTATTTAGTCTA